ATTTGTAATATTAAATTTATTTAGTTTGTACGTCATTATTTTGTTTTTTTTTTTATTTTTTCCCCGTTAGTGATCATATTTTCAGTTTATGAGTTTTTTTTTTTTTTTTTTAATTGTTTGCCCTCCGAGCCAATTGCGCGAATAACGCGAAAACGCCGCTCGTAATAATAACGATCGTTTACTATAAATTCGCCTCGAGGCATGTGAAAAATTTGCGTGCAGATACGACCGTGGGTGGTACGGAAACTAGTCGACGCAGTAGCGTATTTAGGATTTTACCAAGGAAAGAGATATTGGATTTGAAAATTGTGTCGCATCGTGTAACGTGCACCCAGGCTAAAAAAAAGGACCACTTTTGGATTCTGAGTGGAGCGAAGAAGCTCATAATTTTACAGCGATGTTTATTATTGTTATATTTTTTCTGTGGACTGCTTTTCTACCAGTAATTTTGCTCCGATTTACAATGATAGCACGTTTTCTTTAAGTCTGACTGGGGAGGTACTTTAGAGAGGTTAATTTTTGAGTTTCTCATAAGTTTTTTCAATAAGTGCGAAATACCGGGAAAACCAGAATAAACGTAGGAGAAACGGGAAAATAAATACAATATTAAACATATATTGAAGAAAATATTATATAATGTTTATGCAATTATTTTATCATAATATTACATATATATATATATATTGTTGAAAAAACAACACTATAAACTGAACTCCGCTCAGAATCGTTTTTTGGTCAGCAAAGGTTTATCGTCGCATACAGATATACATTCAATTTCCCCTCTACTATCTTTCCCAACGTCTCATCTACCCACGTGTGAAGTATGTTCGTCTTTTTAATTTATCTATTTTTGTTATTGATATACAATCCTTGGTATACTTAGTTAATAATAATTATTAATTGATTTACTATTTATACGGGTACTAATCTAACCTCCTTCATATTTTAGTGGTTTGAATGTAAGTGGTTCCTTTTTAAAAAAGAAAATGCATTAGTATACATTCAGGTTTTCTCGATAAGTTAATAATGTCAACGATAGGTTAGGTATCGACGCGTACATTTGTTTTACATTTCTGACTAAAAAGTAAAGAAATTTGAATTTTAAAATAGGTGGCTGAGTAAACAATAGATTCAACGGGGTAGATATATCACCCTAATCTCCCGCACCCTAAAATACGCCACTGAATCGGCGGACGACGGCGCGAAACTCGCTAATGATCCGAAAAGGATATTAAATCAGTTTACAAGAGATCCGCGGTATATTTAACGGGAAAATGATATACGAGCGACCAAAGGAGGAACTACAGCCGTATACTACACGGTGTAAAATATACACTGTTTTCGCCTGTATTTCCCCCGAGGGTGTAAAATACCTCGCATTATGCATTCCGTTAGTCGTTCTTTATATTATCGCGTACGCGCCTATATTAAATTCGGCAGTCTCCTCATTTGCGTTTTCGGGGTTTCGCCTTTGTGTTTTGAAGAGCTCGCGATCCGCGTTCGAACGCGCGCGTATCCTGCGACACCGTCACGGGTAAAAAGAAATATAATCGTCGTCGGTAACGTTACGCCCCGGCCGCGGGTTTATCGGGTCGGAGTTTTGGCGATGCCCGGGGGGCGGGGGCGGGGGGGGGAAGTATGACGCCCTCCCGCCCAAAACTCGATAATTGTACTTCGAGAGCGGCCAACCGGTAACGGTTTAGTTCCCGAGCCGGAAGTCCGATTGAAAAACCGCACGGCGACGTTCGAAAAGAACGCGTCGAAAATGAAGCGCACCGAATAAACGGTATGACGGGAAACGAACGGTCCGGATTCGGACGAACGCGATATCCGTCGCGTTACAAGTGTAAGGGATTATTTGCGATTTTTTTTCCCAAACGAGAATCGTCCGCAACGCTATAATACACGTGCGCGGTTCAAGAGTAAACCGAACGGGGTTATTGCGCCGCGCGTTATGATGTCAAACGGAAAATTACATTTTAAGTTTATATATATTTTTATTTTTTTTTTTTTTCGTTTTTTCGTTTTTTCGTACGCAGGTACGCGAGCTGTATTTACTTTAAATACGCACTGTTACACGGTACACGGCGAAAAGAGGCGAACGAAAAATGCGCAAATGGGCGAGGGGGAAGCGGGTAGAGGGAGTTCGGCGCGTACCGCCGTGGAAGTTTTACGCCCGAGGGACCGACTCCGCGGCCGAAGCTCTTTAACTGTGTCCTTTGAAAACGTTGTTTACAAGTCGTCAACACCGCTATAATATTGACGTTTTTCTTACACACACACACACACACACACACACACACGCACACAGACGCGCGCGCAAAACGAAAACGGGGTAAGATTATTCCGCGTATACAAATATAATATACGGTGCGCGGCGCAGTTAGTCCACGAGTATTATAAAATAAACACATTATCGAACACGCGGCGGACGGAAACGGAATCCACCTGTTAGATGTCGGTATACATACGTACATATACCGGTGTACGTAAACGACGCGCAGCGGACATTGATTAAACAAACACGCGGTACGAACGGAGAGGGGAAGGTTTTTCTTTTATAATACGATATCGTTCGGTTAAAATATTAATCTCGCGAAAACGGATCGTGCGGGTAGGTAGGCAGGTAGGCAGGTTAGGTTAAACGGCGACGTTTCCCGGGCTCTGGGAGGCCCGCGACACAAATACGACTGGGGGTCCCGGGCGCGTTTGCGGCCTATCCGTCACGTGATCGGGCAGACGCGGGTTCGAGTCCGGCGGAAATTACGTTAAAAGTCGGGTACTCGGCGGCAGAGCTGCAAGCGGACGGGACTCGGGTTCGATTCCCGGTCCGGCCGCCCGATTTTCCGGCGCGGTTTTCCGGACGAGAACGGCCGTGTCGGAATAACGGCGATTTCGGTCGGTAAAACTACCGTAATGTTACACGCGTCGATAACGGGCACGCGCGATAATTGTTCGGCAGACGTTTTTGTTTTTTTATTCATATGAAAAAAAAAAAAAAGTCTTCCGCTCGACGACAAAGCGACAGTGCGATTTAGGACCGGCGTACTTGCTCGGACATCGCCTAAAATATTGCGCGTCCACGAAGAATAAAATAATCATCGCCCGAACGTAACGCAATACAGATTCTTAACGATCATTACTAGCGTTTTCCGCACATTTGCAGCGTTTTTCGGAATTTCTAGATCATTGTACGCACGTTCGGCGTGCAATTAGGAGTTTAGTGCGAAATATTATTTCAAGACATTAACATTCTTCGTCAGTACTGTGCGATATAACGATAATCGCGAATCGTTCACAAACGTTAATTTGCATTTACCGCCGTTTCCCGCCACTGTCTAAGGTCGTTTAAAATCGGGACCTTTGAAATTACCGAAACGAATGAGGTGCCGATCGTATTTTTTTTTTTATCGAAAGAAAAATTGCGGACCGTCACGTCGGCTGACCTAAATAACACCTTCGAGTCTTTCGTTTTAACCGGATGTTAAAGTCGTGGGGCATATACGTTATGTCATAGCGTTCGCGGTTTTTTATAATTCATCAACACGGCTGCGACCCGTAGACAGGACGGATGCGACCGAGTGAGGGTTTCGTTCGAGTTTACCGTCCCTTATTAACGTTCATTAACTCGACGTTTTTTGCCTCGACCTTTCCCGTTCGCGTTGTCGATGTCGCCGACGGCGAAATTCTGACGCGTTGAAATTAAATTTTGTTCGGGTTTTTCGTTTTCTTCCAAAACACATTCCGTACTTTTTATTTTACATGAAGGGTACAGGGGGGGAAAAAAAAACAGAAAATTCGTTTTTTTTTCCGAAATGGCGATATTCGTAACAACCTGCAATTCGTATTGATGTACTGTATCTTTTGTGCGATCGAACCGATGAAAAAACCAGATTCGTCGAAAGTAATGAGCGCCAGAAGTTTAGGGCTACAAGTGTACAAAAAAAAATCAGACAAGTCAACATGGTGCCCCGCAGGCGAGTGTTGGGTTGGTACACGGCTATAGTCGCAGTTCGTAATACAATACGACGTTATTGTTTTGTGATAACTGCATTTCAGAG